TCCAAATCATGAAGAAAGCTAACCCTTTTGAATGGACGGCCGAATGCCAAACGGCTTTTGAAGATTTCAAAATGTATCTATCTTCGCCTCTGGTCTTGACAAAACCCGAACCAGGGGAGCACCTGTATATGTACCTAGCTGTGGCTGACCTGGCCGTAAGCACAGTACTGTTGAAAGAAGAAGATGGCGTTCATCGGCCAATCTATTTTGTAAGCAAGGCGTTGAACGGCCCGGAAACCAGGTACACCTTGCTCGAGAAAAATGTACTGGCCCTGATAGCTGCCATTAAACGTCTGGCTCTGTATTTCCAGACCCACCCGGTAACTGTGTATACTACCCAGCCATTAGCCACCATCTTGAGAAATCCTATGGCAAGTGGACGCATTACCAAGTGGAGCCTCCTGATCGGGCAATACGAGGTGGATTTCAAACCCCAGCCTACTATCAAAGGGCAGACCCTGGCAGACTTCATTGCAGAATGTACCGCCCGGCCCTCACAAACAGATTCAGAGAATAATGGGCTGGATAACTGGTGGGAAATGTATGTGGATGGTGCAGCTAGTGTCAAGGGTTGTGGAGCTGGAGCTGTGATTACATCGCCCGAGGGGTTCAAAGCATATTATTCTATCCATTTTGACTTCAAGGTAACCAACAATGAGGCTGAATATGAGGCTCTCATTGCTGGTTTAAAATATGCAAAGGCCCTGGGTGCCGATCGGTTAAAAGTCCGATCGGATAGTCAATTGGTAGTACATCAAGTAAACGGCACTGCCGAGGCTAAAAAAGAGTGAATGAAGGCCTACAAGGAGATAGTTGAGGGGCAGATAAGTAAATTTGAACAGGTGATGCTCGACCAAATATCCAGGATTGAAAATACTGAAGCAGATATTCTGTCCAAATTAGAAAATGCGGCGTTCGACGATCGGGCACAGGAGATCCCGGCTCATATCCAACGTTTTGCCCATCGGGAAACATTGGCGACCCCAGCAATCATGGTGCTCCAGATCGAGGCCATATCTTACGCCGTCCCGAGCTGGGTCGTAGATATGACCAACTACCTGAAAGACGGAACCCTCCCACAGGATAAAAATCCTGCTTATCAAATAAAATGCATCCAGAGGAGGGCTTCCATGTTCGAATTGGTAGATGGGCAGCTGTACAAAAAGACATTTGGTGGGCCGTATCTGAAATGCCTCCCACCCGATCTAGCGGCGGCTGTAATGGAAGAAATTCATGAAGGTATTTGTTCCAGCCACCAAGGGCCGAAGACACTGGCCAGAAAAATCATCCTACAAGGGTATTATTGGCCGACTATCCAGCAGGACTGTTTTGCACATACTAAGAAATGTAGGGTATGCCAACTGTACGCACCGGTTCCCGGACGGCCTGCCACTTTCTACACCCCAATGACGGTGGCCCTTCCGTTCGCAAGATGGGGGATAGACCTGTTAGGTCCTCTACCTACGGCTCCTGGAAACAACAAGTATATCATCGTGGGGATAGATTACTTTACTAAATGGGTAGAGGCCGAGCCACTGGCCAGCATCACAGATGTTAAGTGTCAAAAGTTTGTCTGGAAGAATATCATCTGCCGTTTCAGAATTCCTGAGCAGATCGTGGCGGATAATGGAAGGCAGTTTGTGAGCCGGAATTTTGAGAACTACCTGGTCAAATGGGGAATCAAGCATTCCAGAGCGTCCGTGGCGTACCCTCAGGCGAATGGCCAAGTAGAAAATATGAACCGTACTATCATGGATGGTATGAAGAAAAAGCTGGAAGAATACTCCTCGTCGTGGCCTGATCAGTTAAATTATATTCTATGGACTTACAGGACCACACCCCGAATGGCTACGGGAAAGACTCCATTTGCCCTTGCCTATGGTTTCCAGGCCAAAGTACCAACGAAGATCCTAGTTCTTACACACCGAACGGTGCATTACAGCCCAGAACAGAATGAAGACAACTTACGAGCCGAATTGCATTTCATAGAAGAAAGAAGGGATCTGGCAGCTGCACGAATGGAAGAGTATCACAAAGCCACAAGAAGATATTTTGATAAGCAAGTTAAAGTTCGTTCAATCGAGGTAGGGGACCTGGTGCTAAGAAAGCGAGAAAAAAGCAAACCGCTCGAAGGTGGAAAAATGGCACAAAATTGGGAAGGCCCCTACCAAATATGTAAGAAGTATGCTTCAGGAACGTTTGGCCTACAAAATACCGAAGGTCAATCGGCAGGAACTTGGAATGTGGAGCATCTAAGGAAATTTTATCAGTAAAAACGGCTGTTGCCACCTCAAAAAAAAATTGTGTAGAGAGGGAGACATAACTTCCACATAAACTCAGCCCATGATTAACACGATCATTCTGGATGACCGAATGAGGAACGGGTTAACTACATGGAAGGAAAATCAATTCTTAGCTAAGGAAGTTTTTGACCCTAGATTTATGAAAGAATAAAGGGATCAAAAACGGCTTGAAGAATTGAGGCTCAGAAAATCGGTGCCCGTGGTTAACTCAATCATTCCGGATGACCGAATGACGAATGAGTTAACAGCATGGAAGGAAAGTCATTCTCAGCCAGCGGCTTGGAGTTTGACGCTCAGATAGTCTCACCTCAACGGTTAATATGAGAATCGATTCTGGAAAACCGAATGACGAACATATTAGCAGTTTGGAGAGAGCCATTATTTCAGCAAGAGTTTTGACCCTGTAATTACGCATTGATGAAGGGATCAAAATGGCATGGAGTTCGAGGACAGTGATTCTCACCTCACCTTGTTAACACGTGGAATCATTCTGGATGACCGAATGACGAACGGGTTAACAGTTTGGAGGGAGCTGAGTCGTCAACTTAGCCAAAGTCGACCCTGTAATTACGTACGGGCAAAGGGATCAAAACGGCTTGGAGATGGTGTCAAGACTGTAAGATATGGATTAACCGAGCGACGTTCGGATAAGGTACGGATTGTCGCCCGGGGAATCGGAACTATGGTTTTGAAAAAGCTCGCCTCAGTCATGAACTTGATTCGGAAGCGAGTCGCCCTTTTAGCTATAAGTAAGGAATGACCCAAATTCGGTGATCTTGCTTACAGTTCGAAAAGGGTTACCTCAGACCCCTAATATGGATGATACGAGCCAGAGAGAATAGTTCGGAATGCATCGGAATTATAGGTTTGGAAGGGAGATAGCCTCACCTCAGCTTGTTAACATGTGGAATCCTTCTGGATGACCGAATGACGAACGTGTTAACGGTTTGAAGGGAGCCCCTATCCCAGCCGAGAGTTTGACCCTGTGGTCACGATCAAAACGATTTGGAGGAATTCACCTCAGCTAAGAGTTTTGAACTCGTGCGTCACGAACGGAAAAAGGGATCAAAACGGGTTCGGGAAAGGTGTCAGAACAATTGTAAAGAGATAGCCTCATCTCAGCTTGCTAACGTGTGGAATCATCTGGATGACCGAATGACGAACGGGTTAACAGTTTGGAGGGAGCCCCTGTCCCAGCTGAGAGTTTGACCCTGTGGTCACGATCAAAACGGCTTGGAGGGATTCACCTCAGCTAAGAGTTTTGAACCCGTGCGTCACGAACGGAAAAGGGATCAAAACGGGTTCGGGAAAGGTGTCAGATATAAAGATACATGAGCCGAGTGAGGTTCGGCCACGTAGAAAAGATTGTGAACAAAAAATCAAAGGAAGATAGAAAAAAGACAACAGATAAGGAAAGAAGTCCAGTTTATTCTTCGGCATTACTAGCCGGAATATACAAGAAGAATGAATAAACAAAAAATTACGGCAAGGCTACATTACTGGAGGATTGCCGTTCGGGGAGAATGGAGGCTGAGAGCTCCTTGCCTGCACTGCATCGTCAGACGCTGCTTTGGATCTTTTCTCCATGATGCGATCGTAAGTATTCCCGAACAGATCGTCGAAGCCTAATTCATCAGGATCGAACGGCTTGGGAAAATGCTCTAGGATCAGTTCAAGATTCCTGTCCAGAAGCAGGTCCTGACTTTGCTTCACAGTTTTCTCGGTCAGGACATCCAAGAAAGATTTCCCTTCCGGCGTGCTGTCCAGGAGGTCGATCCCTGCCTTGATGGGATCTGAGCTCTCACGCAAAAATTGACCAAGGTGAGGACCTAGGAATTGTCGGGCCGTGTTCTCCAGAGCGACGTTCAGCCCCTTGCCCCGTTGAAAATCCACTATCGATTGTTGAGCAATCTGGGAAGTATTGACCGTGTAGGGTTCGGGCAGATGGTCGCCAACAGCCTTATCAAATTTGATACCAGCAGATTCAGCAGCCCGCACCTTGGCCCGGAGTTCTTTAAGCTCCCGATCGCGACGACGGGACTTCTCCTGCATCTCAGCCAGAGCAGCTTTTGCCTTCTCACCCTCCTTGGCCTGTTCTTGGAGATCGGCCGCTAACTTCCGAGCGGCAGAAAGGAGGACCTGGCCGTCATCCCGATCGCTGGCCAGGGCTTTCATTTCCTTCTCAGTTGCAAGAAAAGCCTTGTGATAATATACGCCAGCCTGAAAACGAGATTACAATGGAAGTCAAATAAAGTAAAACATGAAGAAATGGAAGGGCATGGATCGGAATGAAGTGTACCTTAAGTGCTTCCTGGTGACCTGCTTCGAAAAGATCCGACCAGTGGGTCAGGTTCGTGAAGCTTGGGGGAACCTTGATTGCGGTGTGACACCACATAGAAGATGGCATCAACCCGAACAGATACCTCCCTTCTGATCTGGGCCCCATGTTTGAAAACTCGACAAACATCCGATCATCGATCGGTGCGTCAGTAAGAGCCGGAGTTGATTTGTTGGCAGGCACCGGTCTTTTGGGCTCAACCTCCAGACCGGTCAAATCAACCACATGGTCGATCGGGATCAGTTGATCGCCATCATTCCCTTTGCGCTTCTTACGGGTTTGCTCCACCGAGTCACGATCGGCTATCATCTTCTCCTTTCCTTTACCGGAAGAAGCCGTCAAGGTGGCAGAAGAGATAGAACGCCGGACGGGTATGGGAGATATCACACCTACAAGAAAGAAGAATAAAAAATAAGAAGCTGATTTGTGAGAATGAAGGATGATCGGGTTAAAATCTTACTACGCTTACCAATTCCAGCAGATAACATGCTCGAAGTAGTGACAAAGCTCCGAAGACTTCGGGTCCCTCCCATCCGCAAAGACTCAGCTTGGGAGCGTAAAACGGCGTCCACCCTGGGCTGAGAATCCCGAACGGGGTATGCGTTCCACCTATCCGGGAATGGCAGAGAATCACCTACCCGAACGAACAAAAACCGCTCCTCCCAGTCAGCCTGCGGGGTAACATTCTCTGTGAACAGCTGACGATCAGAACGAGCTACCAGTTTCAGGTACCCGGTCGTCCAGTAAGGTTGATAACAGTAATGGTGAAGGAACAGATCGACGCTTGGAGTGATCCTCAACTCATGGCATCGAATGATGAAGCCGGTCAGAATGCGGTAAGTGCTGGGCACGAACTGAGCGGGCAGTACAGCAACCCGGCGTAAGAATTCCACAATGAATGAATGGAGAGGGAACCGAAGCCCAGCAGTCAGAGCATCAAGATGCACTAGCACGTGCCCCGGTCGGTGCCTCATCGGGTGCCGAATGAATCTGGCGTAGTATTCCCTTGGTGGGGGCAACAACTGGCTAAGTTGCCGTTCGACATCTTCTGGAAGACGTTGTTTTTGTTTGCGTATGCGATTGAAGTGTAGGGGAATGCGGGGTGGCCGCTCGGGCATCCCCATATTATAGACTTGGAGGTCATCTCCGGACAGACATCCGTCATCCTGTGGCTGTTCGGTGTGTTTGCCGGCTTGAGGATTCGCGGGTTTAGGTGTTTGGGACGAAGAGCCTTCGGCTTTGTTACCAGCGGATGTCTTACTTGTGCGAATCAAAGGCATCTCTTCAGATTCTGAGCTAGAGGGGTAGTACATAAAAAACACTGGAGAAAACTCTGGGAATTCTAGAGAGAGAAGGCTTGAGAGTATGCAAGAGAATTCTGGGAATTCTAGAGAGAGAAAGCTCGAAAGAAAAGTGAGAAAACAGCAGGAGAAATTAGGGGAAGCACCTCTCTATAAATAGGGGAAGTGCCGCACAAATCCTTAATCCATGAGCAACACGTGGCATAGGGTGGTTACGATTAATCTGGGGCATTTATGATTTATTTTTTGTGCACGTACCCCGGACGGGCTTACAGAGGATTAGCAAAGATCACAGGGACTTGCTGTTTAGAAAAACTGCTAAGTCCTAAAAGTTAACCTGAAGCCCGACCGGCTATCAATGTTGTAAAAGGTAATCTGTAATCAAACGGCTGTCCTAAAAATTGATCTGAAGCCCGAACGGCTACCAACTTATGAAAAAGCCCAGGTGCGAAGAAAACCAAGAAAACAGCTGTCCTAAGAATTGATCTGAAGCTCGACCGGCTATCAACGTTGTAAAAGATTATCTAAAGCCAAAATGTGCTAAGTCCTAAAAAATGGTGTTAAGCCCGAACGGCTGAGTCCCAGAGAGAAGGGGTTTTTTCCTTAATAAATTATCAGAACTTTCTAATGCCCGAACGGTGATCAACGGCATTAGGAGTATTTGAGCAAGAAATAAAGTCAGGAAATTGGTTAAGTCCTACAAAACGGGCCGAATCCCGAATGGCGAGTAAATCATGCAATAAAGACAGAAAAGACAGTACACAAAGCTTCATGCAAAAAAGGGATATATATTCATCGGTTCTACTGACCGGGAAGTACAAGCTACTTGGAGAAGGGAAAATTACAACAAGTAATTAAAAAGTACATATAAATTATTGGCCAGGGGCCATTTCATCTCCCTCTTCGTCCTCGTCCTCATCATCATCAGATGGGGGTTCAGGCTCTCTCCCAGCGGCCCGATCAGCTTCCCGTTGCTGAGCTCGCAGAAATTTCTCGAACTGCGCCTGTATAATGTCATCTTTGGGAAGATCAGAAGCCTGAACCGGCCTCCCCAGATTATTTTGAAGCTGAGCAACGAAGGGACGCAGCAGGACCTGGCCAATTTTGCCATAAAGGTCGGAAACAATGGAGTCGTTCCATTTTTTGGCCTCAGGATCCTTGTCCAAGAGGGCCACCCCTGCCGATAGCCGACCAGCACCTTTGGGGAAACCCTTCAAGTACGCCCCAAAGGCGAACGGGATTTGGGTCCTTGCGTGATCATCCTTGATGATGGAGAATTCATCAGAGGATTTAAATGTTTCCCGAACGGCGGACAGATCCACGTTCACTTCATAGGGACCGTTCGGGATGCTGGATGGCATTTCTTCAAACTTGACCTGTGCGGCCTCAGCGGCAAGGACCTTTGCCTGGGAGGCTGCAAGTTGGACCCGAAGGGTACCAAGCTCAGCATCCAGCCTCTGCTTCTCCTCCGCAAAGGCCTTCCGTTCGGCCTCCAGAGAGGTGATGGCTGCAGCAGCATTTTGCTCAGCAGAAGATTGGGCAACAATCAGTTCCCGTTCCTTGGCCAGACGGGCTTCCCGCATTTGAAGGGTGTACAAACCCATCTACAGAGCACCGTTCGAGAGTTAGTACTGATTACAGAGAATAAAATAAAGACAAAGCGCAAAAGATAATGTACCTTCAGAGCGGTCAAAGCCAGACATTCTTCAGATTGCTCGACCGGCAACTGAGGAAGGGAAAAATTGTTGAACCAAGAGGAGGTCGACCAGATCTGGCTCGCAGTGGAACCAGCCCTTTCTAATACCTCGTGGACAGGATCAGATAAGGAGATCCGCTCGACCTGACCAATAATATGGTCGGTGTGGGTCTCACCTACATTCGAGGGTTCCCCCCGAACGGAGTCAAAATGCTGAGAGAACTGATGCAGTTGGTCAGAGCCGAACCGATCATCGACCAGCATGGCCTCGAATTGGTCCTGATGGACCTGCTGTATTGGCTGTGGCTCTGGAAGCGGTTGAGAAGAGGCAACATCCTGAGCAGGAACAATGGAGGGAGTAGGTTGGGGATTCTTCCTGGATTTTTTCCGTTTACCGGCCCCACCGGCTGCGATAACTCTGCTATCATCCATAGGTAGATCTGGGTTTGGTGCTGAAAAAAGACAAAGAACAATGTTAGTAACGAGCGGCCTTAGCGTGTGAGAAACTAGAAAAAAGAACAAAAGAATGTTTCTCGCACGGGAAGGACCGCCCGGACCATGGCACTTGGTTTCTCAAAACAAGTAAACCCAAGAGAACGGGCAGTACCTATCCCGACTGGAATAAGTCGTTCGGGAGTCAGATAACTCATGATGTCCATGCATTTATCCTTCTCCACAGCAAGCACGTCCTTATAAATTTCTTCAGTGAGGACAGGATCAGGAGTTTTGCGGGGGAAGGCATTCCATTTGCGGGGAATTAGGCCGTCCAGGACAGACACGAAGAAAAACCGGTCTTTCCACCCTTTGATTGAAGTTGGGTTTCCCTTGAACAGGATGTGTCCCGTTCGGGCACTAGTGGCCAGATAGCCGTGGGTTTGTTGGGGGGCTACCTTGAAAAATTGGTGAAAGAGTTCTAGGGTTGGTCGGGCGCCGACATCTTTACAACGGCAAATAAAACCCGCCATTGCCCGATAGGAGTTCAGCATAATTTGGGCCGGTACGACTTCGTAGAAATTGAAGAATGAAATGTAAAAAGGGTGTAGCGGAAACCTAAGGCTGGCCCTAATTGAGTCAAAATGAACTATGGTCATTCCGGGCCTATGACGCATTGGGTGAAGCCCAGCTTGCAAACGGAAATCCACCGGGTCAGGGATAAGGGCCGGAATTTCGGCCCTATTATGGGAGGTCAGTTTTGCCGCCTCTCCCTAATCAATTTTAGGTCAAGGGTATGGCGAGGGAAATCGTTGGGACGTCCGGCCGCCATGGAGGCTATTTCGTCCTCAGATTTGGTGTCGTCGGAATCTTCACTGGAGGAAGAAGAAGTGCTAGGGAGGTCCTCCGCCTCAGCCCTGGTATTCATCGCCGTTTCAGTAGAACCACCGGCAAACGGGATTGTAATGACGTCCACAATAGCGGGTCGAAAACCCGATCGGGTCTGCCCTCTTCTAGCTGATTGGGTCGGTTGACCCGAACCCGAAAACCCGAACCGAAAAGCCCAGCCCATGTTTTAAGGGTTATGGGTTACGGGTAGGGTATTATAAATCCCTACCCGACCCGCCCGAATACCCGAACTACCCATACTATATATACGAATTATTTATCACTAACCCTAACCCTAACTGCCTAACACTCCAGCGCCTCCACTCTTCAGTCTTCACTCGCAACTCCCTCTCTTGATCTCTCCTACTGCGAGTCTGCGACTTCTCTCTAACCATCCCTGTCAACTCTCCGTCGTAGGTCCGACCTCTGTAGTGTATTTGTACCTCCGGACTCCGGTGGAAGCTTGTACTCTCGATCTCTCACTCTCTCGGTCTCTCTTACTGAGGTATAAACGTTAAATACCTAAACTGTATGCTTGGTGGTTTGGTGGAAGCATGATCCATAAGTGTGATGTGTTATCTGTTTTGTATATGAATTAGTTGTATTATTTTGATGCACTAGATTCGGACCCTGATACCCTTTCTATGAATTAGTTGTATATGAATCTGTTTTGGTGGAAGCTTGAAACCCTAGATTCGGACCCTGATACCCTTTCTATGAACTACCTGTTAATCTATGATGCTTTGGTCATGCATATGAATATATGATTATATGAATCTATGATTCTGAGATTTTGATATAAATGGTCTCTGAATATGTGCTGCCTCGATGATGCATGTGTGATTCTGAGATTTTTATATAAGTGGCCCCTGAGTAAAGATGATGGTTGATTTATTATGAGTTCTGAGTCTTTTGAAAAGTGTTGAAGTTGCCTTTTTCTACTCTAACACTCAAATGAGTAGTTAGAGTGAACTGGTATCTTCTAAGTCTGTAGAGAAGTGAATAAGCCTACTGCTTATATCCTTCTGTAGATCAGCTTGCTGATTGTTCCAGACTTTAATTTCAATGTATGATGTTGTGTTCAATCTGGAAGCTTGCATTATTGAGTTTTTTGAACTATAACTTCCTATCATTTATCAGAATGGAAGTTGCCTTTTTCTACTCTAACACTCAAATGAGTAGTTAGAGTGAACTGGTATCTTCTAAGTCTGTAGAGAAGTGAATAAGCCTACTGCTTATATCCTTCTGTAGATCAGCTTGCTGATTGTTCCAGACTTTAATTTCAATGTATGATGTTGTGTTCAATCTGGAAGCTTGCATTATTGAGTTTTTTGAACTATAACTTCCTATCATTTATCAGAATGGAAGTTGAATGTATGGATACCATACCTGCATCTGGCTCTCAACCTCCTTTGACTCCTGTTTCCCAAGAACCTATGATGGAAGCTCATGATGCTGGGGCTAACACCAGCACACAACAGACTAATGTTCCTGGAAATAAGAGAAAGGAGGTAGAGTCCAGATCTAGAATATGGGATCAATTTGAAAAGATCAAAGATAGTAATGGTGTTGTTGTCAAAGGAAAATGCATACATTGTGCTAAAATATATTGTTGTCAGTCTAAGAAGCATGGCACTTCCTCTCTTAGAAATCACATACTGAGTTGTCTGAAATTGCCTGCCTCAAACGATGCTAGGCAAGCCCTTCTCACTTTCCAACCAGTCTTGTGTAATCCAACATCTGAAAAAATTGGGGTGTTAGGGACTTGGGTGTTTGATCAGGTTGCAATTAGGAGAGCACTTGCTGAAATGCTTATCATTGATGAGCTGTCATTTAGATTTGTGGCCAGACAAGGATTTAGGAAGTTTATCTCTGTAGCTTGTCCTAGGTTCCAAATTCCTTCCAGATGGACAATTGCTAGAGATATCTACCAAATCTTCTTAGATGAGAAATTAAGTCTGAAAAGGTTGTTTAGGGAACACACTCAGAGGGTCAGTATAACAACTGACACATGGACCTCTGTACAAAGGATCAATTACATGTGTATAACTGCACATTTCATTGATAATGAGTGGAAGCTGAATAAAAAAATAATTTCCTTTGTTCCTGTGACTTCCCACAAAGGAGAGTACTTAGCTAAAGCCCTAGAGTCTTGCCTAGTAGATTGGGGTTTGAAATCTATCTTCACTGTAACTGTTGACAATGCAAGCAGTAATGACACTGCAATTGGTTTTTTTAAAAAGAAGCTTTTATCTTGGGGTGCCTCTTCTGTAAAAGTTAAGTACCTTCATATGAGGTGTATTGCTCATATCCTTAATTTGGCTGTCCAAGATGGTTTAAAAGAAAGTGATTCTTCTGTTCAAAGAGTGAGGGATGCTGTTAAGTATGTTAGAAATTCTCCTGCTAGGCTTCAAAAATTCAAGGACATTTCAGACTTGATTGGAATGGAAACTAAAGCTGGATTGCACCTAGATGTCCCAACTAGGTGGAATTCAACCTATTTGATGCTCAAATCTGCAATGTCCAATGAAAAAGTGTTTGAAGCTTATGAGGAGAATGAGAGTTCCTATCTTGTTGATCTAGGGAGTGAGAGTCCTGATGTTGGGGACTGGATTGCAATTGAAACTTTGGTGGTCATTCTTAAAAATTTCTATGATATGACAGTTAGGATTTCAGGCTCTCTTTATGTCACTGCAAATACCTTCTTCTCTGAAATATCTGATCTGTTCCTTGTTCTCAAAGAGATGGTTGCTTCTGAAACTGAATCTGTATCTCATATGGGGACTAGTATGAAATCCAAACTGGACAAGTACTGGGGTGATCCAGAAAAAATGAACATGCTCATTTTCTTTACAAATGTGCTAGACCCTAGAGACAAATATGAGTACATGCCACATCAATTGAATGCTTTGTATGACGATAAGATAGGTGAGGCATTCTTTGCAAAGATAAAGCTGGGTTTGAATGAGTTGTATGGTGATTATGTTACAAACTATGATGTTTCAGTGAGTGGAAGCTCTCAATTAAGCCCCAGTTCTGTTTCTTTACAATCTGAGTCAACTGAAAGTAGGCCTGTCTCAAAATTCAAAGCCCAATTGAAAAAGCAAAAACAAGATAGTGGTCTCTTAGGGTTGAAAAAAAATGAACTTGAACTATATTTGAGTGAGAACATTCTTGAGGAGGACAATGAATTTGATATACTGAGATGGTGGAAGCTTAATGGTGAGAGGCTTCCTATCCTATCTAAGATGGCAAGAGACATTCTTGCTGTTCCTATTTCCACAGTAGCATCTGAGTCCACTTTTAGTACAAGTGGAAGAGTGTTGGACTGTTTTAGGAGTTCTTTGAGTGCCAAAATTGTAGAAGCACTCATATGTGCTCAAGATTGGTTGAGGATATCAAACCAGCCTGTGTCAGTTGAAGAAAATATTGAGGAGGTAGAAAGGCTGGAAGCAGGTACTAACTTTTACTTATATAATATTCAGTGTTTATATTTATACATATTGTTAAATTCTTATTGTTTTCAATGCAGAATTAACTGATGGAAATGTTGATGGAGGCTCTTCTCTTGATCAGATAGTAGTATACTTTTTACCTTTATCTTTTAGATATGTAATATATTATATTATTATTTCACTAATGATTTGCTATATATGCTTCTGTCAATGATCTGATTGTAAAAGTCTAACCATGTTGCTGTCATGGCATTGGAAGTGTTGTTGATTCATTGGTACAATTTCTCCTAATTACTGTGTTTGTACTTTGCCCAACAAGACATGGTAATCTTCTTTCACTCTTGAGTTAATTGATGAAGTGTAGCATGTATCTGGCAATGATGATAGCTTCCACCAAAAATGAAATTGATGGGTTGGTGTTGATTCTATTTCCATATAGTTTCGTATGCCCCCATTAATAGTGAAGTCAATTTAAATCTGAGCCAAATATAACATCATACATGCTGCCTTAATGGAAGTACTAGAATTTGGTAATGTGAACATTGAGTTAATTGATTAAGTGTAGCATGTATCTGGCAATGATGATAGCTTCCACCAAAAATGAAATTGATGGGTTGGTGTTGATTCTATTTCCATATACTTTCGTATGCCCCCATTAATAGTGAAGTCAATTTAAATCTGAGCCAAATATAACAACATACATGTTGCCACTTAGACAGTAAACTGGAATTTGCTTATGCATATGTATTTATGACTTCTGACTTATTAGATTAATTGTTGCATTATTTAATCAGTAATGATAGTTTCCACCAAAAAATTAAATTAAGAATACAAAACTGAGTCAAATTAAGGATATGTTGCTTCCTGCCTTGGTTTTACTACTGCAATTTTCCTATGTACTTATGAATTATGAGTTCTTACATGAATTGTTTACTCAATTAGTTATTTTGGCAATGAGGATGGCTTCTAGCCTTCTACAGTTCTACCAGAAAATAAAATAAATGGGTTTGGTGTTGATTCTAATTATATAGTGATTAATGCCCCCATTATTAGTGAACTGAAATTAAATCTGAGCCAAATCTTATTGTATTTCTATATACTTTTGAATTGTTTATAGTTCCCACTTCCCAAGTTCCCAGAAAATAATAATGATAATAATGACACTAAACACTTCCCAGTTTAGTGTTTTATGATACTAATGTGTTTGTGACTTACATAGGAACAAAATCAATGACTGTTCGGTTGATGATCTGCGAAATTGATGAAACCTGGAATTCTGGAAACACTCTAGTAGACTAGTAGTCAAGTAGATGTCAAGAGTCAAGATCTGAAGACTTGTACATCAATTGAATGTTGTTAAACTTTTTGTTGGTACTTGCTGTTTTGGAACATTTGATTGCTCAAACTCTAAATGTTAAACTGCTTTGTGCATAAGCAGTATAACTGTGTAAGTGTTAATGTATGAGTGTATAAGTGTTAAGTGTATAAGTTATAAACTTATAACTATTAGCCATGTGTTTGGAGTTGTACAAACTCTACTAATTTTGCAATTGCTTTTGATAACATATTAATATGTATTTTATTTGTGTTTGTAAAGTCTAATCCAACATTTTTTTTTCAAGGTGATTTTATGAATTATTTGTGTTATGTGTTTAATGGATTTAATCAGCCCGAATGGCCCCGAAAACCGATTAAAACCGACCCAAATCCGAAATTGTGCAACCCGATTAGACCGAATTTTTTTTTGGACGGGGTAGGGTTTTATATTCTCAGCCCGATAACCGAAAGGGTATGCAAAAACCCAACCCGTCCTACCCGAACCCGTCCGACGCTCTCCCCTAGTGATGACGTCCACAATGGCGGCGTCACGATCATCTCCATGGGAGGCCATCTCCGAATCAGAGGAGTGCTCTTTGGGGCTCATCTCGGTCGAGCCAGAAATGAAGATAAGGAATCCTGAGCGATAGAAGCTGGAAGAAAATTGCAGGGAAATCAACAAGGCGCAGAGAATTGCAGAATCGAAACCCGAAATTGAGAAGTTAAAAGCTAATTTATAGCCTTGAAACCGCCGTGTCAAGAACCAATCAGAGAGCGCCACGTCACAAGGAGCATTTAAGCTAAACACGTGTCTAATGAAAAGACTAAACGACGGTTATCATGATGAATATGGGGAAATGAAGCGGCAGCCGTCAAATCGCAGCATGGGGAACTGATTACTTCTGTACCCCGATCGCCATTCGGGGTATTATAACATTGATATACTTCCTAATGCACTCACTATCGTTCGAGACATCAGAAGTGGGGGACTTGTGTTGGGATATTGACCTAGAGGCCCAATACCCAGATCGAGAAGGCCCAAGATATCCGGCCCAAGCAACGGGCCCATCATTCTATGATGAATAGATCCAGTAGGAAGACATACCGAACGGAGTTCGGCCCAAATAAAGGTTGGCCCTGTAAGAAGACATACCGAACGGGGTTCGGGCTATATATCGTACTTGGGCCAATTTGACAGCATCTTCAGTACAACCCAACATCCCGTTCGAGCAACGGCCAACCAGCAAGTGGCCAGGTGCAATTAATGTCAGACTATGACATCAGCAAGTGGAAGCATGGATGACCAAGTCGGTGGAACAACGGCCAATCAGCATGGGGCAGCCCATGCTCTCCATTAGTATAAATAGAAGGTTTCAAGTCATTGTAAGGGTTAGCATTTCAATACTCAGGCTCTAGAATAGCATCATTGCTCTTATTTCTTGTATTAAAGCATAGTTTCCGACCTACCGATCGGGAAATTCCTTGTAATCAGATTGGTTAATTAATACAAGTGAGCTTTCGAGTGTTAGTTAGTTCAGATCATATATTTTTTACACGCTTTGATTCTGGGCCATTCCTGATATATCCAAAGTTCGTGTTGGGCTTTCGGATCTACGGGATTTACCCTCAATAACATGACATGATTATGTGACGCTTTGTATGTTGTTCCTCTTATATATATATATATATATATATATATATATATATATATATATATATATATATATATATATATATATATATATATATATATATATATATATATATATATATATATATATATCGATTAACATGACAATCTTTTATGCATGTTTTTTGTGTTGTGAGTCCTTGAATATTTGGAGCTCTTGCATTCAACGAAATAATTTTACAACCATTCCTGCTTATAATATTTGTATTTGTAAGATAAGATATCCCCTTAATCACAAAGCAAACTTGCATATCTGTTTTTAGAGTGTCCTATAAACTTCATTTCTTTTCAAGAAAAAAATCATGCGATTTGTAAACTGTGCAAAACTAAACGAAAAATTAATTAGAGGACTAAAGAAGTAACAATTTATTCATTTAAACACACTTACTCAAGGGATGAGAAGATTCAAAACAACATATTTGAAAATGTGTTATGAAATATGATCATACTCCACAATCCTGTCACCAAATTGAACTAGTTAACACCAAATCATGGTTGAACTTAGAGCAAATTAATCTTATATGTTTCATATATTGTTTAAGCAATTTTTTGATAAGCTAAAACTAATTAAAATGAAAATTCTATATAGATTGAATCTCGTACAAGAACGACAAGAAAAATGACAGGAACACTAAGGAAGATTTCAAAAGAGCAAAAAAAGAGAGTAATTTAGATTGTTATTCGAATGAGCCACCCCCATACAATAGAGCTCGATCCTACTTATAAAAGAGGTAGTTAATCCCCCTTTTTTCGTTGTTGCGGTTTTGATCGTTATGACGACATTCAAAGTCATCATTAACATCACTCAGCCCATTTGAGTAACTCCTATCTTAATTACATTAATAGTTGTAATAATACATACAAAATCGTTATCATAACTAGCTAGCATTAAGTCTAATAAATGTGTCATTAATTGCCGTGATCAAGCCTCTTAAATGTAGAAAAGCTGTTGAATTCTTGATACAACATATATCAAACTATAGGGAAAATCGCATGTATGGTCCCTCAGTTATCCACGAAATTAAAATCTCAGACCTGTATATCTGAGATTGTAAATGTCACCCCTCAATTGTCCAAATTGTTGTAAATGTGGTCCTTTAAGTGGTGAAATGTACTCTCGCCCACATTGTATATTTCACCCCTCAAAAGGACCACATTTACAACATTTTGGACAATTGAGGGGTGACATTTACAATCTCAGAAATACAGATCTGAGATTTTAATTTCATGGATAACTGAGGGATCATATATGCGATTTTCCCTAAACTATAATTTCCTCTTCTTCTATAGCTATTTTTCTTCTTCTCCACCTTATTAGTCAACGTGAAAATTACGTTGAATTGTCAAAAAATAATAACGATTAATCACGAATAAAACCATTTGATACATTAATGTTTTATTAGAACCCACCATACCTTTATGCGCATCAGGGTAACTATGGACGTTGGCTAACCACTAAAGCGTAGGTTAAACTTTAACGATGGACTCGGTTCGGGCCACCCGGCTCGGAATCGACCCGTCCCGATAATGTTTTAAACCGGCCCGGCCCAGGAAACCGGTTCCGGTTCCGGTTCGGGCCTAGACCTGAGGGGTTAGGTGGTTTCAGGCCCGGGTCAAGCAAAAGGCGAACCGGCCAGGCCGGGCCTGATTCGGCCTTTTATTTTTTGTTTTTTTTGGGTTTGGGTTGGGTATTTCCGAGGGGTTTGGTGGTGGTGGGGGTTGATGGGGGAGGTAGAGGGTGAAATAAGTAAGAAATAAAAAAATTAAACCGGAACCGGCCCGGCCCAGAACCGCCGCCTACCCGTAGGGGTGGACTGAACCGGCCCAAACCGGCTCATGAACCGTGCCAAACCGACTCGTGAACCAGATCGGACCGGGACTGAATGGCCGGTTCCGGGCTTTTAGCCCGTGTGGGCAGGCCTGACTCACTATTGATTGATAAGGCTAATAATAAATAAAAACACTAAACAATCTCGAAATATTTTTAATTTGACCATTTCTAGTTAATATCATACGAGTATCAAACAATATTTAAATAGGTGAGATTATAAAAGACCAAACTTTAAGCTATACCAATCTATACAAAATTTAGGGAGTTTTTGTAACTACCTATACTTTAAAAAAGTAGTACTTGTATGTGAGGTTGTTTATTAGTGTGTGAGTAAACAATTTGAACTGTGCATACATTTTGGACATACCTTAATAAAATGTTATATTCGGATTAAGTGACACTTGTATAAAAAAGATTTGGCTAGCAAATACCACTTGGCCTAGAGGTCACATTTGGCTCACTTAATTTAATGAGTGCACTCATTTGGAACAGCCGTGTTGTTTATATACAAAATTTGTACATATTTTCTGTACACACATGTAGTTATATATACACAAGCACATTCTTAACAAGTTATTTGTGTACCCAAATAACTAAAAGATTTGTACGTAAAATACATGCCAATTTCGTGTACAAGTAGTTTTTTTATTTGAAAATTTGGACAGAAGTCTTACTCATATAGGATTTAATATACTACCTCCATCCTGCTATGATTGTCCCGTTTACCTTATCGGTCCGTCCCACTAAGATTGTCTCATACCAAATTTGGGAAAGTTGTGTGTCTCTAAATCATTCTCACTTTATTCTTACTTTATCAATTCAATATCAACCACATAAATCACTTTTTATTGATTTGCTTGTTGCTCCCTCTTGTCCCATTGTTAGCGGGACGGAGGGAGTAACAAATAAACACCCCTAGAATACGTATACCAAACCTCCCCGTCCCAAACCAGATCAGACCAGACGAGATTTAAACAACTCATATCATACCAAACTCAGATAATTATAAAATACACAGAGTTCTGACTAGATGAGTTATCATATCGGAAACCGTAAATTACTATCCAAAACAAAACATCCCTATACCGCAACTCCTAAAATACGTATACCAAACGTATACCGCACCAAATTTGAACCGACCACCCCTGGAAAATTCAATCCAGTTATTAACCTATTGTTCCTCATCCATTCATTCGAGGTCAATCAAAACGAAACGCCACCGAGTCACACAACCCTCACTTCTGTTTACAACATCTCACACTTTTTCCCTGTAAATATCCTCTCTGATTTTACGGAGCCATCGGGAAATCTTCAGCTTCGTCCATGGCTGCTGTATTGGAAACTATCACAGTTCCGCGTGCTTCTGCCTCCTTCTTGGCTCCGATTGCCGCTTCTTCCGTCGCCGGTCGCCGCAACTCTGTTAGGTTCTCCGACTTTAGAGGGCCTAAGATCCAGCTTGCTCAGTCCTCTGCTTCGATTACTTCCACCTCGAAATTCTCTTCCCGTGGACGTCGGATCGTCTGCGAGGCCCAGAATATCGCTACTGAAGGTTAGTCATGTTTAGTCTTTTTCGATTTATGTGTGGGGTGTTTATGTGGTTGAATGAAAAAAAATTCGGTTGTGGATGATCTTTAGTATGTACTTTTGTACGTTCGATTGACATGATTTCAGTTTTAAGCTTATATGTGAATTCTCAGGAGAATCAAATTACATTGGAAACTGGCTCCTACTTGTCATCTACATTCCAAGGGGGAATTCGTGATTTTTAAAGCTAACTTTGACTATTATCACCCTAACTTGGAATGTTTTTGGCATGGTGAATTCTATGAGCAGAAAGTGATTTATTGCTGCAGTTTATCACACTAAAATTGTCTAGCTTCATGCCAGCCACCACACCATGCCACTTT